AAATTAGGAAGCATTGATTACTGATTATTATATATTGATTTGTTGATTTTTAGAATCAATCAACATTATTTATTTCCTTATACCGTATTTAACTGTATAATTGAATATAAAATTAAAAAAGAAGTTCTGATCATTGGCATATAATAATCAATAAACTATTTTTACTTATTTTAGACTACTTTTATATTTATTTTATTATTGCTTATAAGAAATTAATCGATTTAATTGATTTTACGAAATTATTTTTACTTATTTAAGTTACTTTTATATTAATCTAGATTATTTTCCTTTATAACAAATCGTTATTATTCCATTTAACCGAAGCTGAAAAACGATACATATGTAACATAGTTAATTTTATCCAATATATAATATAGTTTCAAATTAGGAAGCATGATCATTAATTATTATTTATTGATTTGTTGATTTTTGGAATCAATCAACATTATTTATTTTTTTTATATTTCAAATCGTACATATCATATAGTTTGATATAAGCCCATATATATATATGAAAAAATTTCTATTACCTATGTTGATTTAATTATATCATCATAATTCTATTATGAATTAAATAATTATTCAAACCTAAGTTTTTTTTTTTAAAAAAAAATCATACTAAAAAAATTATACTATATTATATATTTTTCATATTTCTCAGAAAATCTAAAGTTATATATAACGTAATATTACTCGAATAAATATGGTAAAATATCAAAAGTAAATTTAGTTACCAAATATGTTTATCTTGATTTCAATTATAGATTTTTTGAAATCAGTTAGAAATAAATTCATATGTATATTTCTCGGAAAATCTAAAGTTGTATATAAAGTAATAAATTTCAAAGAATCCCTTCAATTAAGTTCCATGATTTTTAAAATATGAAATAAACATAAATGGTGATTCACAAGTAGTTATTGTTGATCTATGGTCAAACATACTTGGTTTATTGTCAAATGCTATAGTAAATATAATACTTACCATATTTGCCAAACATTAAAAGCATAAATTTTGGAAAATTTAACATTATTCGTCTGAAACTCAAATCTTGTGTTTAAACCCTAAGTTTGATGACTATATATATCAAACTAAAATTATTTATACAGAATCACAACCAACCTCAAAAAAAAATGCAATACCAAGCAAAAAAAGGGGTTCTGTGAAGATAGTTAATTTACAGAAAGCAATTGTTTGAAAACCTAAGAGTGTAGTTTTAAGTAATCTCGAGTTTGTACTCCTCATTGTTATGATATATTTTATAGTTTTTGTAAATATTTTTATTAATATTACGTCTTATATTGATCTTTGCAAACAAGTTCATTGGAATCAATTGTGTCGATTATGTAACTAACGCTAATTATTTACTTGATTTTTGAACCTCCATACGATGCTCATGTTGTTATGTATTTTAAGTTTATGATCCATTGAGTGGGAAGAAAGAATTTTACTGTATAACTCTTGAAAATATATATATATATGTGTGTGTGTGTGTGTGTGTGTGTGTGTGTGTGTGTGTGTGTGAAATAAGTTATTTAGTTGGTCATTTCAAATATAAAATTAGAAGAGGTTAGTTGTTCATTTCAAAAACCTCATCTTCATGTGTTTTTTACAGGTTTGACATTTTTTAGGTGGCAACACTACATTCATTTTCAGCCACTTTAGGTAAAATTTCTCTCTTTATAAAATATATTACATATTATGCCATTTTCATATGTCAATATCAGATTATTTGATATAGTTTTTGTCACGCCTAAGAGTTTATATATATTGTCGAGGATGTCACGCATAGTGCTGATATATTTTTTAAATATTCTGAACATGCATGGTGGTGTGTGTATTGTATAACGGCGATATCATACGAATTGGTTTAATATCCCCTCATATTTTGCTATATGTAGTTTTGGTCATGGTGAGTCTATTGTATGCTTTCATATTTTGCTAACATGTGGGATGTCACGTATAAAATTGGGAAGAAATATTTACTTTCCAATTCTGAACATAAACATGAATTCAATTAGGTTTTTCTGCCTTGATTATAGGCCATAATTANTATCATACGAATTGGTTTAATATCCCCTCATATTTTGCTATATGTAGTTTTGGTCATGGTGAGTCTATTGTATGCTTTCATATTTTGCTAACATGTGGGATGTCACGTATAAAATTGGGAAGAAATATTTACTTTCCAATTCTGAACATAAACATGAATTCAATTAGGTTTTTCTGCCTTGATTATAGGCCATAATTAGCCAGCACCATTTATAACAGTCAAACCATGTTAAATTTTTTGAAATAACTGTGTTTTAAATTATTTAATTAATTTATGTTGGAATGGTGGACGATGATATGTTGAAATAAGGTATTTGTTTCCTATTAGATCATTCACCTTGACAGCCTCTTACGTTTGGTTTGTTGTTTTTCATAAATAAATACATAAATTTTATACTTATGAAAATATATCCTAATGAAATTATAATGTATGTCTATCTAATTGTAATAATACAAGAAAACTTTCTGAAATACTTAACTAACTATAAGTTAATATAAAAAAGGAAACTTTATTGACTAACATTTGAATATTTAATTATATATATTTGAATTTTAACTATCTGCTTAACTAAAACAAAGTCCATTGATTGGAGTGGATATGTTAAGAAAATATCTACTTTATATGTCGGATCTGATATTAAGAAAAAGAAAGCAATAAAATATCTATTATTGTTATTAATTTTCAGTAAAAATAATATTTAAACAATGATTTATTTAATTAACAGTTAAAAACAAAAATATTACACAGTTATATAAATATATATGTAATATTGAAGCAAATCTATTTTATCATTACAATCTTGAAAAAACATATTATTTCCTATTATATATGTTTTTCCATCAATTATATTCTGTGTTTATACTTTCTAACTTAAAAATGTCTAAATATATAATAAGTGATTAAATTTATATTTCATCCCGCACATGGTGCGGCTTATCACCTAAATTTTGTATGAGTTTAAGCAAAGATGATAATCATTATTATTGCAATTTTTTCTTAAATTCATACTTTTATATTTATCATTTTATTCCTTATAACAAATTAATCGATTTAATTTGATTTCAAGAAATTATTTTTACTTATTTTAGACTATTTTTATATTAATCGATATTGATTTCATTTATAACAAATTGTTATTATTCCATTTAATCCAACCCAATAAACAATACATATGTAACATAGTTAATTTTATCTAATATATAATACATAGTTTCAAATTAAGAAGCATTGATTATTGATTATTATATATTCATTTTTTTTATTTTTAGAATCAATCAACATTATTTCTTTCCTTATATTTCAAGTTGTATTTAATTGTGTAATTGAATATAAAATTAAAAAAAGAACTTCCGATCATTGGCATATAATAATCAATTTCAACAAATTATTTTTACTTATTTTATACTACTTTTATATTTATCGTTTCATTCCTTATAACAAACTAATCGATTTAATTGATTTTAAAAAATTATTTTTACTTATTTTAGATTACTTTGATATTAATCCATATTGCTTTTCTTTATAACAAATCGTTATTATTCCAAGCTGATAAACGATATATATGTAACATAGTTAATTTTATCCAATATATAATATAGTTTCAAATTATGAAGCATTGATTTTTGGAATCTATCAACATTATTTATTTCTTTATAGTTCAAATTGTATATATCATATATCTTGATATAAGCCCGTAAATATAAAGGAAAACTTTTCTATTACCTATGTTGGTTTAATTATATCATCATAATTCTATTATAAATTAAATAATTATTCAAACCTATGATTTTTTTTCTTAAATTCATACTAAATTTAAAGAAGTTTTTGCTTAATCTTATAGTTTTTTTTCATATAACAAACTTCAATGCAATTTTCCAATTACACAATTTTTTTTCAATTTTTTTTTCAAAAAAAACAAGATTATATTATATAAACAAATGCATCTATTTCATTATATCTAATATTTTTGCCATTTGAATTTTAATATCTATAGATATTAGATAATAATTTTTTAATTCATTTACTCCGTGCAGGGTGCGGATTATCACTAGATTATTATAGTATATGTTTCATTTTATATGCATCTTTCAAGATAAGATAGTGAAATTTTTAATATTTTGATTAGCCTTTCTATCTTATTTCATTTTTTGTTATATTAAATTTTATAAATATATGTTAGTTTTACTAAATCAAACTATATCATATACAAAAAATCTATTACAATTGTATCTTTTATTATTATCATCATACTTTTACTTTGGTTATGAAATGAATAATTATATTTTTATGTTTTATTTTTCTTAAATTCTTTAATAAATTAAAAAAAAAGTCTTTCCTTACTCTTAATTTTTTCCCATATAAACACTTCAATCAATAGATTTATCCAATACACAAACTTTGTTCTTATAAAAAGATAAGTTTATATTATATTATCTTATACATTATAGTTATAAACTCTTTCCGTCACTCACTCCGCGCAAGGCGCGGGTCATCACCTAGTTCCTTTTTATTTTGAATCACTTCAATGCTACTTTAGTCCTCTGTAACAACAAGACTCTTATTCAAGGAAGGTATTTTCATTTAATGTTTTGATATGACAATGCAATGGCAAATATAAGAGAAGTCGCAAGTGTACATATGCTATGTGCAATGTTCTAAAAAATCGGTGTAGCCGGTAAATCAGTCTTATTCAAAACAATTTCTTAAAGTATGATTTATGCAATTTAAATTAGTTTAATCGGTTAAAATCAGTTAAAATCCGTTGAAATCAATTCATACTGGTTTATATCGGTTAAATAAAGCAATAATGTTAATATAAATTAAAAACCTGTATAATTTTTTTTTTATACCTAATTTTATGATTTAGCAAAACAATTTTATGGTTAAATCCTAAAATTACCCTAATTAATAATCCGTTGACTCAGACCCGAAAGAAACAAGTACTTATTATATCAACCCAATTGTTTGGTCTCACTTCATATCATTTCAACTATAAAAACACCTCTAAAAATGGGAACAAAACATAAACAAATAAATACATGATTTGGAAAAGCCAAACAATGCTTAAGAAGACAAGAGTCTTATTTGATTCTCAAAACTATTAGTTGTCCAACCAACTCGTCAGTTGTTTCTTCAATTCAGTGTACAAATTTCCTCAAACCTGTACTAAAGATAAACCAATAACGTCATGTGATATTTTTCAGACAAAGGACGAGTAGTATAATCATAACATTGGTGCTTATGAAAGATCCCTCACAAAAAGACAAGTTTAGAGTCTTCGATTGTTACCTCTCTATGTCAGTTACGTTATTAGATCATCATTCAACCACGAGACAACTAAGAAAATAGGAAAAGTTAGACCATGTTTAAACCGTCCATTAACATATGAGCAGAGTAAAACGCATACCATAGCCGATAAAAATGCAAAACACATTTTATGCTTTCTAAATTATTAGCGAGGACTACTAGTGAACACATCTAGAAACATTCTGTTTATTGATGACAACCTCATCTGCTGGTCATGCACTCTTCTCCTCTTGAATAGAGGCTCTGGAGACGACGGTGATGCAGAGACTAAAGCAGAAGCAGACACAACCCATGACTCGTTGGAGCCATTAGAGCTGATTGATGCATCAAACATACCCCTTCGGTTAGCGGGTTGCATTCTCTTCTTGCTTGGATTGTGATCTAACACTAACTCATAGCATTTATTTACTTTCTCCTGATTTAAGTAAAATGAATATGAAATCAGTTCTTGATCTCAACACTTAACTAAATTGGCATTGCTTTTGAGTAATAATACCACATACCGGATCGACTTTTAGTAGAGTCATGAGCTGAGATTCGTATTCAGCTTCGTCACACATCTTGAAATCTCTAACAAAAGAGACCATTATTGCAGTGGCTAACACAGAAGGGCTGTAACTTATAAACCTAGGATCTGAAAACCAAGAAACAAGAAGTTAGAACACGAGATCAAATGAAAACCATGTGATCTAACAGTGGAAGTATTACCATGAACAATGGAGAGCAACATAGATTCACATCGACTCAAGAACTCAAACTGCTGGTGAGACTTAGAGCTGTATCGACGGATAATGTGATCTAAAAACGAGATTGGAGTCACAGGATGCATCTTCCATTGAAGAGTAGAGAGAATCAAAAGCTCCATCCTCTGAATAGTCTTAGCTTCAAAGACATATCTTGCATCTCCCACCTTACCAAAATACAAAACAGTAAACTCAAACTCTCATTTTACACGATTTGAATCTGAGAAAGTAAAGACTTACTTGGAGATCTAAGAGCAATGGAACACGGATCTCTTCAACTTTAGCAGCTAAAGACAAACAAGCCACAGCTGTAAGCTGAGACATCCATGGCTTATCCGTCTGAAACTTCCTGCTTGTAATAAACCTATCGAAGTAGTTAACAGCGAGAAGAGCCGTCAAGGAACTAAACCCGTAATAACCTTTCACTCGAAAAATCCAACCAAGAGCGTTGTCACGACACAAAGCCAGAAACTCATTTAAGGTCTTGTCGGAAAGACAAGGCTTTAACTCTTCCTCCTTCGAGATCAGACTCGATAACTCATCTTCGTCCCATAACATGTCATGATCGTGAAAACCCAGATGAAAAGACTGAGACTTTACAACGCTCTCGTCTTCCTCGAACACACTACTGTCTTCCTCGCACAAAAGCATACAAAACGGTGCGTTTTGAACCTCTTCCTCTTCTTCTAAGGCCATTTCTATCTTCTTCTTGGGAGGAGAAGAGAAGGTCTATGTTCATTCTGCCATTGAAGCTCTCTCTCTCTCTCTCCCCCCTATACGTGGATCCTACTGTTAAGAAAGAGAAAAGGAGTGAAGACAAATGCCAAGAAAGTGAAGGTTTTAACCTCTCACGCTTGTCCTTCTTTTTCTTTATTTATTTGTTTTTATGTTTTATTAATTATTTTTATTTTTTGTCTTTTATTTATTTGGATGTTTTGGCGCGGGAGAAAATTGATGAAACCGTACTTTTCCTTTGTTTTATTATCAGGAATGGAAAAACCTTGTAAATTTTTATTTTATTTTCTGCGAATTAAACAAGAAGAAATTAAGTAATAATAGTTTAATTAGCCAGCGATATGTGATAATCACGTGTGTGTTACAACGCTCTATAATCCCTATCCGTCCGATGCTACTCATCGTTGCTCTTGTATAGAGCGTGCGATTAACGCGGTGGTGTTTGAGTTTGGTGGCGAATAAATCGTTGACTGGTAATTATTTCTGTCGCCTTACGGTTTTGAGCTTCGATGATTACAAGTAAAGATTAATGTTACTTTTTTCATTAAAACTTTGGTAGTGAAAAATATTTGAATGATTTCTATTTATAAAATTCTAATATAAGAAATCATTGTTTTTGTAATTATTTTCTTTTATACCAAGAAGTATTTGAATCTTCGTCCTAAATAATTTATCATATTCGAGATCAATTGTAGGAGGTGGGCTGTACTCACCCCTCAAGGCCCACGGGAAATCATATTCGGCCCGGTAAGGGTAAAATAGTCATACCCGAGTGACGTTCGTACAAGTAAGAAAAGGCGTTATCGAGCCGACAGCAGACCCAATACCGGAGGCCCACGAGCCGAGAACGACCTAGGTTAAGACCGAGAAGTTCGAGCTATAAAAGGAGAAGGAGGGAGGACGAGAGAAGGGAGGGAAAACTGGACACTGAGACAGCGGCATAGATTAGGTCAAATAGCTAGATTTATTCTGTTGTCTTAATCCACTCACACCGAATCTCGGCATAGCTCCCGAGCACCGAGATCCTCCCTGTACTCTCTCCGTTTATAAATAAAACTTCCTGTTCACTCGGTTCATTTAAATCCACACCTTTGCAATAACCCACCGACGAGTCTCGTCACTCATTTTACTGATACACGACCGAACTCGGTACAAACAGTTGGCGCCCACCGTGGGGCATAACAAAGTAGTGTGATAGAAGATGAACGAAGAAACTCCTCCCGACGTGCAAACGGAGGAAACTCCACCGGTTCCGAACCCTGAAACCCTCATGGATTCCGTCTTGGTTCGCCTTGCTCACCAAGAAGAGGTTCAAAAGACGACTAACGAGCACCTTGCGGCCATCGCCGCCGCACTCGCAAACCCAGACGGAAATCTCTCGACGGCTCGCCGATTTCTTTTCAACACAAACCCTACTCCTACTCCGGCAAACCAACCCATCCAGCCGACTGACACCCCGGTTGACACCGTACAACCGGTAGACAACCCAGATCTGCGAATCATTCGGGAGATCGCCGAGTTGAAACTCGCACTTCAAGAGATTCACTCTCAGATCCACCACGTGACGAGTGCAGCTCCTCAGATAGACAAGGTCCTCGCGACCGCCCTCCGTACACCCTTCACTCGCCGCATTACCGACGTCCGGTTATGAATCACGGAGAAAATCCGCCTGCCTACCTTTGGCGGCACTGACGACCCATCGGAACATATGACGGCATTCAATATCGCCATGGGTCGAGCAAACTTCACCGACGCCGAGCGAGACGCCGGCTTTTGCCAGCGGTTCGTTGAGAGCCTCGAAGGAGCTGCGCTAAACTGGTTCTCACGCCTACCGGAGAACTCCATTGACACCTTTCGCGACCTCTCAACGGCCTTCTTGAAGCATTACATCATGTTCACTAACCAGAAAGCCACCGCTTCCGACCTGTGGAAGCTATCTCAGTTGCACGGTCAGACCCTGAGAGATTTCATGGAGAAATTCAAGGAAGTCGTGTCCAAGGTAGACGTCCCCGACAACATCGCAGTGGACGCCCTGAAAAATACGCTCTACATCCACTCGAAGTTCCGAGAAGACCTTTATCGGAACCCAACGACATCGCTCCAGGACGCTAACGCACGCTCAAACAACTTCATCCGAATGGAAGAAGATACCAAGGCGATGATAAGTAAGCAGCATGCGAACAAACCAACGCCGAGCAAGACCTCCGATTCAAAGCAGGAGCCGAGACAACACTCGGCGGACGAAAAACAGCCTAAGAAGAAGAGCTTTGTCTACATGGTATACGAGGACGCCATCTCCGACTCAACAGTTGTAGTTCGCGCCAAAGGATGGAATCACTACAACCGAAAGGAGGACGATGAATCGGGCGAACCAACGCCCCAGAAACCTGACACCGATGAGCGCGAACCGTACTGCTCATACCACAAATCCAGAGCGCACGATTCAAAGGATTGCAAGCAGCTCAAGGAGATACTGTTCGGAAAATACTCCCGCGGCGAAATCCCAACCGACCCTCCAAAGCCGCGCCCGAAAGGAAATAATAGCTGGAGCAAGAACACGGATAAAAGAGGGCAGAAACCGTCCGGCACATCCAGCAAAGCGAAAGAGGACACATCAAAACCTGAGGAGAAAACCGAGCCCCGCGATCGCGACGAACCGCCCCCCGAGGAGGAACAACCAAAGAACAGAAAAAGGATCCATGTCATACTAACCGGCCCCGAATCCTCATCTGACGACGAGAACGAATCCCGAGACCTACGTTCACTCCTCACCACGCGACGCTTAGCCCGCACACCGGATGCCTCCCACGATCTCCGAGACATCATAAACCACTGCAAAACCCACCGAGTCACACCAGAATCGCAAGTTGTCGACCTCCGGGATAAGTTGAACTCCGCTAAGAAAGATCTCCGGGAAACGCTTAATCAATCAAAGCAGCTCGATCTACGCAAGCATTTAGATACGATTAAGTCCCTCGCCAAGTCCGATTCGCGTTCGGGAGCATGCACTCGGCTAAATTTCATCATGGGGGGGCTCACCGCCTTGTGATGATTCAGTACGTTCCGTACAAACCGACCAAAAGCGTGCGAAATCCTCCGGAGGCTGGCATGTTCAACCTCCAGACGAGCCCCGAATCACGTTCTCCGCCGAAGACGCCCGCGGGGTACACATGCCTCACAATGATCCACTGTTAATTGAAGTAGGAATCGCCGACTGTGAGGTAACTAAAGTCCTCATCGACACAGGTAGTTCCGTAGACTTGATTTTCTACAATACCCTCGAGAAGATGGGAGTCGACCTCCGACTCATCAAGCCCTCGACTCGTTCCCTGACCGGATTCAACGGCGCATCCGAAGATATGCTCGGCACTATCCGTCTTCCAGTATACGCCGGGGGTATAGCGCGAACTGTCAAATTCTCTATAATTGGTACGAGTGCCCCGTATCATGTAATACTCGGAACGCCTTGGCTACATTCGATGAAAGCGATTTCATCCACCTACCACCAGTGCATCAAATTCCCAGGCAACGACGGCAGCATCCGCACGCTTCGTGGTGATCAGGAAGCGGCTCGCGCGTTACTCGTAGCAAACATCAAGCAAAGTTCACGCCGAGTAAATAATGTAACCGCCAAACCGATACACAAAATCTATCCCCAAAAAGAGGAGATCCAAGAAGTTCTGCTCAATGACAGCGATCCGAGCAAGGTAGTTCGGGTAGGCGCTTACCTACCGGACGAAATGAAGCGAGATATCGTCGAATTCTTGCGAGCCAATCAATCGACCTTTGCTTGGGAGACGTCAGATATGAAAAGAATCGACCCCTCGATCACGTCACACCAGCTGAACCTCGACCTAACTTTTAAACCCATCAGGCAGAAGAGGCAAAAACTGGGACCCGAACGATCTAAGGCAGTGAACGACGAGGTTGAACGACTACTCGCAGCCGGCTCAATCACGGAAGTTAGATACCCCGAGTGGTTAGCCAACCCAGTTGTCATCAAAAAGAAAAACGGCAAGTGGCGTGTCTGCGTCGACTTCACCGATCTCAACAAGGCCTGCCCGAAGGACAGCTTCCCACTCCCCCACATCGATCGCTTGGTCGAATCGACTGCCGGAAACGAGCTGTTAACATTCATGGATGCATTCTCTGGTTATAATCAAATCTCTATGCACCCCGACGACCGAGAGAAAACCGCGTTCATCACAGATAGAGGAACCTACTGCTATAAGGTCATGCCTTTCGGGCTAAAGAACGCGGGCGCAACCTACCAGCGTCTCGTCAACAAGATGTTCGCGAATGACCTCGGCCGAACAATGGAAGTCTATATTGACGACATGCTGGTGAAATCGTCCCGCGCCGTAGACCACCCGGAGCATCTCGCGGCATGTTTCCGAACGTTAAACGAATACGGCATGAAATTAAACCCGGCAAAGTGCACATTCGGGGTTACCTCTAGCGAATTCCTCGGGTACATCGTGACACAACGAGGAATCGAGGCCAACCCAAAGCAGATCTCGGCAATTCTCGACCTTCCCAGCCCGAGAAACAGCCGCGAAGTCCAACGTCTAACCGGCCGTATTGCAGCCCTAAATAGGTTCATATCCCGATCAACAGATAAATGCCTTCCGTTCTACGAACTCCTTCGAGGGAACAAGCGTTTCATCTGGGACGAGAACTGCGAAGCGGCATTCGCACAGCTGAAACAGTACCTCACCACGCCCCCAGTACTCTCGAAACCCGAGTCCGGCGATATCCTCTCCCTCTACATCGCAGTTTCCGCAACCGCAGTCAGCAGTGTCCTAATCAAGGACGATCGCGGAGAAGCCGATATTCTATACTAGTAAGCGTACGACCGAACCCGAGATGCGTTATCCAACACTCGAGAAAATGGCCCTCGAAGTAATCACGTCCGCACGCAAACTCCGGCCATATTTCCAATCTCACACGGTCGAAGTCCTAACAAACTATCCACTACGGACAGTCATGCAAAACACCAATCAGTCGGGCCGATTGTCCAAATGGGCAATCGAGTTAAGCGAGCACGACGTCGTGTTCAAAGGACGTCCCGCCGCCAAATCTCAAGTCTTAGCCGATTTCATTATCGAGCTACCGAAAAATCTTGAAGAAGAACTCATTCAGGAACTCGCGTTACCCAAAGGAAACTGGATACTCCACGTTGACGGATCAGCTACCAACCAAGGATCCGGAGCCGGCGTGCAGCTCCAGTCCCCAACAGGCGAGCTGATTCGGCAATCCTTCAGTTTTGGCTTCCCGGCCTCAAACAACGAGGCCGAGTACGAATCTTTGATCGCAGGCCTTCGGTTGGCGAAAGCGGTCAACGCGAAACGCCTCAGTGCCTATTCCGACTCTCAGTTGGTGACGAGTCAATTCAGCGGTGAATACGACACTCGGAATGAACGCATGGACGCGTATCTTCAGCTAGTCAAAAACCTCTCTCGGGAATTCGAATTCTTCGAACTCACCAAAGTCCCGCGAGGTGAAAACATCTGCGATGATGCCCTAGCTGCCTTAGGAAGCAAGATACGAGACCAAGTAAAGCGTACGATACCCATACATAGACTCGAAGAACCAAGCATCGACCCAACCATCGGTTGTACCGTAGCGGCCGTACGCACACGAGCCTCCGCACGCGCCAGGGAGAACCTTCCCACCGAAGACGCGCATAACGATGACTCGACGCTTTCAGAACCTCCCCCCGCGAGCGAAACAAGTGAACCGGCTCCTGACTGGCGAACCGAGCTACACGACTTCCTTCGCGACAGCACGCTGCCCCTCGACAAATGGAAAGCATGACGACTCAAAGCGAAAAGTACATGCTACGTGCTGATTGACGATCGTCTGCACCGAGTCGCCGCGAACAGAGTATTGCTTCGATGCATCCATGGTGAGGAAACGCGCCTAGTCATGGCCGAGACGCACGAAGGCGCAGCAGGGAATCACTCCGGGGGCCGAGCACTCGCAATCAAGATCAAAAACCTCGGTTTCTATTGGCCGTCGATGACAGCCGACTGCATATCTTACGCCCTACGTTGCAACAAGTGTCAACGACACGCACCGACGATCCACTCCCCGACTGAAATGCTCCGCACCATGACTGCCCCTTATCCGTTTATGCGTTGGGGAATGGATATAATTGGCCCGATGCCGAGTTCGCGACAGCGACGCTTCATCCTTGTCCTCACCGATTACTTCACCAAATGGATCGAAGCCCAGGCCTACACCAGGATTACCGATAAAGAAGTCCAGAAATTCCTTTGGCGAAACATCATCTGCCGACACGGTCTACCCTACGAAATAGTGACGGACAACGGTTCTCAATTCATCTCCCAACATTTCCGCGAATTCTGCGACAAATGGCGAATCCGCCTCAACACTTCGACTCCTCGGTACCCGCAGAGTAACGGTCAGGCCGAATCCTCCAACAAAGCCATCATTGACGGCATCAAGAAACGACTCGACCTTAAAAAGGGTTGCTGGGCTGACAAGTTAGATGGAGTACTATGGTCGCACCGCACTACCCCTCGGGGCGCAACAAAAGCAACTCCATTCTCGCTGGCTTACGGAGTCGAAGCAATGGCACCCGCCGAAGTCAATGTTGCCAGTCTACGTCGCAGCAAAATGCCCCAGGCAGATGATCTCAACCAAACAATGTTACTGGACGCCCTAGACACGATCGAAGAACGACGCGACCAGGCCTTACTGCGGATACAAAATTACCAGCAACAGATCGAGAGCTACTACAACAAGAAAGTCCGCTCCCGACCTCTCGCACTGGGTGATCTCGTTCTACGTAAAGTCTTCGAGAATACCAAAGAGCTGAATGCCGGCAAACTGGGAAGGTCCTTACAAGATCATCCAGGTTGTTAAACCCGGCGTTTACCGATTGGAAACTTCAAAAGGGGAAACAGTGCCTCGGGCGTGGAACTCCATGCATCTCCGCCGCTATAATACCGAGTAGATGCGCTTCATCCTAAAAAAAAAAAAAAAAAACCGAGTAGATGCGCTTCCCAGCCACTTCCACTCACCAAACCCCGAGTAGATGCGCCTCCCGGCCACTTCTGCTCAATCCAACGAACTACGAACGGCTTGATCCTCCTTCGAGGTACGTAGGCAGCCCAACCGGGTTCAGCTGTAATCCAACAAAAGTCCAAACTGGTCGCCGGATGTAATTCTTTGCGCCCGAGACCTCGGTAATGTTCGCGCCCTCGCCAGCTCGAGCGACGGACTGCGCACGAACACTTACCTCCTAAGCGTCAGTGAGTCCTGATCAGATGAACTCGACGCTATCACATTTGGACTGACGGTTATTTTCATATTCGTAATTGTACCCGAGGAAGGGCACGGCCACCCAAACACTCGGCGGAACAACTTTATGACTTATCGAAAACCTTAACCTTCAAGGATACAATGCCGACTCTCACTTGCACATGGCCGAGTTCGAAATCGAGCGTCCAAAGCAGCGTACGAGTATTTACCGACCTAACTCGATAACCGACCAATTACTTCGAACGGTCGAAAACGCATCTCCAGCAATTTGTTCCGAGTAAAAATTGAGTCCGCCCAAAACTTGAATTACTTCGAACCAGCAATCAGTAATCAGGAGCCCGGTTTCAAAACCGAACATCCGGCCTATTGCTCGATTAGCGTTCGATAATTTAATTGGAGCTAACTCTAAAAAAAAAAACGATAATGCAACACTCGGAAACCATTGCTTGAGGTTAAACCAACAAAATAAAAAAACGCGCATCCAAACTTGTTCGAGTATTAACATCTTAAAAAAAATAAGCAAAAAAATACAAAGATAGCAGATACGCCGCTTTCACCCCTCGGCCTGGTCGTCTCCCGCACCGACTCTCGGCGAGGCGTCCGCCTGTTTACCTTGTTCTTCCGGGCTTACTGGGTTAGACCTCGTCTTATCACTATCGACGCTAACTCCCTTTCGTCTTGAGCCTCCCGAACCGGAGCGGCCAGCCTCCCCCGACGATCCCGTGACGGATGCTTCGGCATCTTCGTTAACGCCCTCTGTCGAGTGTCTCGGAGTACGAAGTCGCGCAGCAGTCTCCGGACTTATCAGATTTAGGTTGGAGCCATGCAGACCCTCAGCGAGCTCCTTTTCGAAATCCGCCACAAGCATGTCAAGCAGGTCCTGATCAACAAACTCCGACTCCAGATTAAGCGGAGATACCTCCAAGTCGGGCTCCGTCAACGGGACCCACATCCAGTCGCTTGGCTTCAGCAAACCAGTGCTCTTCCTTTTTACGGAAGTATTCAATTCTCTCCTGCGGGATCGGATCTCCCTTCTTCTGTAAGAGCTCGAGGCATTTCCGGGTACCAAAGGCCTGGCTGTAACGCAGCCGAGCGTCATCAAACTGCGGAAAAGAAGCCTCCCGGTTGCGGATTCGCTCCATTCTAACTAACATCTTGGTGCACATCACGGCGGTCACCCTAGCTCGCTCCTTGGTAACCTCGAAAACTCGGGACTCTCTCAAGCGGGCAGCTTCTTTCGCATGTGCCTCAATAAGTTCGAGCTTCTCGCGCTCCAACCGGAACTTATCCAAGAACAGAGCAGCCTTCTCCTTCTCGACCTTAGCAGCCGCGTCCCTCATGGACTCAAACCTGCTCAAAATATCCTCAGCTCGCATCGCCTTGACCTCCGCACGACGGAGAGCTTCCTCCTTCTCCGCCTCAACCCGCTTTAAGGAGGCTTTCAGCGACTTAATCCGTTTCTTCCCATCTTTAACCTTCTCTCGGGCTTCGCCCGACTCAGCATACACTCTCTTAAACTCCGAGTCGTACTTCTCGACGAGAAAGTTAAAGCTGCCACCAGCCTGAAATACTCGGCAAATGTGTGGGTTAGGGATGGGAGGAAAGCCAACACATGCATATACCAAGCAACCAAAAGAGACGGAAACTTACAGTCAAGAAGTTTCGCGAAGCATCTTTGAAAGCGCTCGGAAAGACCAGCTGATCCGCAGGAGGAAGGCTGCGAGGACCCCCCTTTATTTGGCCGACGAGCTTGGCACATCTAGGTCCGTTGGAGATTAGTGGGGACGCCTCGTCGAATGAAAAGGAAACCTTATCCGGAAAAACGGTCTTGAACCTCCGAGTAATCGGACGATCCACCGGAGAAGATGAAGCCCCAAGGGCAGAACTCGGAGGAGGAACGCCGCTTTGAGGCTCCGTGACGGGATCCAGCGTAGCCACTGTTCTGTTACCTTCCCCAAGTTCTCCTCTAGACGGAGACTTAGACGATTGATCCACCAAGCCACCCGGAAGAACGGGAGGAGCCTCATCAGTCACTCGGTCTGTGGCCATCGCCTCCTCTACGTGGGGATGTTCAACCAACTCATCCCTTGGAGTAGAGACGTTCCCCGCCGCGGAGCCGGGACCGTCATCAGTCGACCCCCGAGCAGGCCTCTCGGTAGACTTTTCAGTCGACCCTCTCTTCTTCTTCCTCTTCTTCTTGGCAGGTTGGTCAGACAGGGCTTGTTCCTTTGCCATGGAGGAGCTGACCCCTTCACTTGGCTTCGAACCGGGGTCATCGCCATCCGACTTCCGCTTCGATCCTCCAGCCGGCCCCTCGGAAGACTCTTTCCTTCTCCTCTTTTTCTTGGAGGGAGTATCGGAGACAGTTTGCGTCTCGGCAGTCGGAGGATCCTGAGCAATCCCCCCATAAAGGCGATCCTCGGGTTCCGCGGGGTCGATCGACCCCACCTTTGACGAATCGCCAGTAGGAGGGACGATGGCGTCGGCAGGTTCGGACCCGTCAAGGTTAAACGTATCCAGTACGTTCATAAGCCCTGCTCCCCCCAGCTCCTCGTCGTCCTCTATTTCCTGAGACAAGTCCGGAATGCCTCTCATCTTTCGTGCCCGGTTGATAGCCTTTTTCTCCGCCCTCGAGAAAAGCACCGACCGTTTCTTGTCAGTCCGACTTTTACACGGCAACTTCGAGTCCCACGTACCTATACCAAATGTATAAACGAGCAAGGGTGTTAGGTATAGAACATAGAGACAACAAAAAAGGGGGGAAAAGGGAGAATAATAACGAAGAAGCCAAGAACCTTACCGTCGTCTATGCGGTTCAGCCAACGACGTATTCTCTCGTCGCTTATCTCGGGCCAACGAAGATGTCCGAGTTCGACCAACGCTCGGGCGTTATCGTAGAATGAGCCTGGAACTCCGGTCAAGTACGGATGATTCACTGCACAATAACAAAGGAGACGGTAAGTATGCGAGAATGCGTTTACAAGAAAAGAGTAACTATCTACCAGCATGCCAATTCCAGAACACTCGTGATCCGACATCCGGGGGATCGACAAACGAAAACTCGTCAGATTTGACGAAGAAGTAGTATCGCTGCCAATTGGTGGTCTTCGTAGGATGTCCCGTGATCACATTGTAGCTCGGTCATCGTGATGGAGAAGAAGTCGTCATCCAGCGGCTTGATTGAGGTTAGTTCCTCCAAGGCTCGGGGACAAAGTACAATGCCGAGCTCGGCTGACATCACCAACAGCGCAACTATCAAGCGGAATGCGCCGTTTACAAACTGACTTATAGCAAGGTCACGAGGGGCCGCATAAGAAGTCACGAGTCTCGGAATCGGGAACCAGAGTTTCGTGTCCCTTTCGAAATACGCCTCGTACACACACTGATATCCCATCGGGGGCGCCCAGAGCCGCTGACTATCGGTCGGCATCAGGTACGTAACCCCAACTGCATCAAGACGCTTCAACAGATTTTCAACCCGAGTAGATGTAGACCACGTCGACATTATGCGTCTGTTGGAATAAGTACCGCGTTCGCGGATTACGTTGGACGGAAGTTCCGTACCCCGCTCGAAGACACCGTTTCCCAAGTAACGTGTCGGAACTGGAGGAGGACTGGCAACGACTCGAGCACGTTCGGAAGGACCCGATGTCCGAGCTTCACCCGACGCTCTAGCAGCACGACCCCGGACGTTGGTCCTAACGGGTTGCGCTGGGGGATTCCTGGTTATAATCGAGACACCAAGTAACTCGGCAGCCTCGTTACCAGCAGCTTCTCCCCTCAAATCTCTCTCCGAGTCAACGACAAGAAGTCTCTGCGCTGTGTTAAGACTGGCCGAGTCGCGGAGCGCCCTCTGATGTTCTAACTCGAAGTCATCTAAAGGCTCGCCGGTTGTCTCGTCTCGCGCTACATCTTTCCCTTTCTCTTCCCGAGTCAATCGCTTTCGAGGACACATCGTGACCGGCAATACGTATATATCTTACAAACAATCTAGAGAGAGAAAGTAGAGAGAAGGGAGAGAGGATACCTGATTTCGCGGAGAAGAATAAAAGAAGTGGAGGCAAGAGGGGTATATATAGAAGAAGTGAGGCGCGGATCTCAGTGCAGCATTTATTAGGTCTACGAAAACCTAGATGGGCTTTATTTTCGCGACTGTTCATATTCCGCCCTTAATGGGCCGAGTCCGATATAAAGAAGCCCATCATTTGCGACGATTCGTATTCCCTTCCTGCGCATCCGAGTAAACGATGCAATCGATATTCCACTCGATTACCGAATGAACCGTAAGAAGCCTTAATCAACGGGAACCGAGTAAACGACGCGATCGACGCATCACTCGATTACCGAGTAACCCGTGAGAAATGTTAATCAACGGAAGCCGAGTAAATAACACGATCATCGCCTCTGTTCGACTACCGAGTGAAATCAACAACGCATTCAAATCCGTTCCGACTGGTCCGCGAATCCCTCGCCTAAAAGAGGAACTTCCGAGATTTTCCTCCGCAGTCCGAATATGCTTTCCCGTAAACCTGATTGATTCATTCTATTGACTCGTCGACCGATCGTCAATAGACTGGGGGGACTTACTGTAGGAGGTTGGCTGTACTCACCCCTCAAGGCCCACGGGAAATCACATTCGGCCCGGCAAGGGTAAAACAGTCATACCCGAGTGACGTCCGTACAAGTAAGAAAAGGCGTTATCAAGCCGACAGCAGGCCCAATACCGGAGGCCCACGAGCCGAGAACGACCTAGGTTAAGACCGAGGAGTTCGAGCTATAAAAGGAGAAGGAGGGAGGACGAGAGAAGGGAGGGAAAACTGGACACTGAGACGGCAGCATAGATTAGGTCAAATAGCTAGATTTATTCTGTTGTCTTAATCCACTCACACCGAATCTCGGCATAGCTCCCGAGCACCGAGATCCTCCCTGTACTCTCTCCGTTTATAAATAAAACTTCATGTTCACTCGGTTCATTTAAATCCACACCTTTGCAATAACCCACCGATGAGTCCCGTCACTCATTTTACTGATACACGACCGAACTCGGTACAAACATCAATGGACGCTAATACCATTTATAACAGTGTGACAACCTACCTCATGAAGTTTTCAGCACTGAAGCACATTGATCTTAACTCATCGCCGTGGAAGAAACTGTCTCCATATCCATTGGTAGGTTATTGATGCGCTTGACAGTATTCGAATTTAATACCTCATCTTTTAACAACTCTCTACAAAATAAGTTGTCACCAATTAATCTACAAATCAACTGGTGACAACTTTTTTTGTGACAACTTATCCTGCGGACTCCAAATTTACAGCGCTGTAGTGCACCGATCCGGTTAATTGTTTTTGACCATTCGAACGGCGTTCTGACTAGATTTTTTGTCCTGATTTTTGATTTAGAGTCTGTTTGAGCAGCATGAGTTCATAGACACCACTTTCTACCTTGCTAAGGTGAGGATTATCCCCAAACTTCTCGTACACAGCTTAGTTCTAATGTGTTTCGTCTTTATGAATTGAGTCTGCTGCTTACTATAGAGTTAGGTTCTTTGTTTAAACCTGATATAGGATGTTAGATGGTTTAACATTGCTTGATTCATTTATAATTGATATTATATATATATATATATATATATATATATATATATATATATATATATATATATATATATATATAAGGAGTATTGAGGTGATTAAGATGTTAGCCAAATACGGAGACATACTTCCGTATGTCGGCCGGTGACCAGTAGGTTTGGTGTGGAGATGGTGCGGCACAGCCTAGTCGACTTGTTGTGCCAAGGCTTAGAGGTTGATAAATAATCTATGGGCGTGTGTGACCAAGCACTTTGTCAGTAGTGTTTTGGCCTGTTAGTGGGCAACGAGTGTGCACCTTGCTAGGATCATTTTTTGTTCTTTGGGTACTTTGGATACCGTGCATGCATCATGTTATTTTATATATTCGGAGTGCTATGTCCGCGTCTATAGACTTTGGGTTCAGCATCTCATACCTCACTGAATGACTTCGCCGTTACTCATCCCTCTTTTTCCATATTTTAGGTGAGACTGGCGAATAGTGATTTATTATCGGATCGTTGCTTTTGGGAGTTTTATTTCTTTCTTTTCAGATGTATGATTTTTATACTTTTATCAATATTTTCTGGATTTACTATGTTATTTGAGTTTATCGCTATTTTTTAGATTTATGGAGTTTGGAGACGATTTATACGGATTAATAAATGGAGATTTCAGATATATTTTATTTATTTTGTTATTGTAGAAAATGCTAGTATTGCAATTTGGTATCGAACCGGGGTCCGCAAGATGGGTTGTCACAAATAATAAAATAAATAAATCAAATCCGGATGAAGATAGTTAGAGTCATTGGAAGACTGAGAATTATTCTTAATATGAGACACAAAGTGTAACTTATATATAGGTTAGGAATATATAAATAAACTTAGATTACTTATTAAAGAAAAGTTAAACATAAGTATGAGACCTGTGCCACACTCTTTCTCACCTCGATCTACCTATGGTTAAGGCCTCTCTAATGGTATTCCTTTATATTTCATTATATAATAGATTAATTCTATTATAGAGTAAACTAATGAAACAAAATTTACTCTATAACAGAATTACTATGTTTTAGTGTAAATTATAGAGAAAAATATAGTGTACCTTAGAGACAGTCTTGTAGCTGCAATCTCTTTTCCACCATTACCATCAGAATTAATTCGTCTCGATTGTATTTTAAAAATTCAATAGCAAAGTTCTAGATCAGTGCTAAGTTTTAAGTCTTACTCAAAGTAAAAGAATTATTTTGTCTCGAGCTCTAATCAAGACTTGATCTCTTCTTCTTCTTTGTGGCGTCACACTATCTCTTCTCAATCTACCTAAGAGATAGGTAAGCTTACAGCAACCACAGAACATGCTAAAGAACATGTGATCATTTAACCAAGCCACAAACCAGCTTGATCAATCTCGAGCCTAACCAGTAATTAAAACGGGTTTACACTCAACTATAATACAAGGAAACACATTCTTTAAATCTCCTCCTTGTCATGTATTATACTTCTCTATCTTCTCTTGTTGACAACTCCTCCTTAAACTGTAATCTTCAGCTTTTGATTATTGCATTCTCTTGTTGACTCTTCTTGTCAACTCTTCCTGAGTAAACCCACCAGCTACATATCTTCTCAGATAACACCAACCGAATTTAATAACTTAAGGCT